TATTACCATTTTCTGGACGAATTCATCGTTACTAGGCAAATTCAGAGGTTGTAGATCGCATCCACTGGAATACTCTCGCTTTTATGTATACTTTATACAGTCAATTTGGCTCGTGTGCACTTTAAAGAACCCAGTGCATCTTTCGAGAAGAGTAGGGGGTTACCCCGATGTACTGGTCCATTCATTCAGCCTCTCCTGCGTCCTAGCTGGTGCCAAACGTAGTGCACCCTTGCACTCCTTTGGACCCCACCAGTGATGGAAATAGAGGGGGATTCTGACGCATGGGCAACCCAGGATCTCCAAATTCACTGCCTAGGCACACGCCATCGTTCATGGCGTATAGCATCGTCTTTCGAGACGGCTGGCCTATATATATATATATATACAGTCAATAAAGTGCGCCCTCTCTAATGAGATTACTTTTTGTACTTCGCATCTCGCACAATGCGGTCGTTCGGTTAGGCTGAGATATGTTTGTTTAAGTGTCAAAATCTCAGTCAGAATCAGTTTTTTAACAAATTTGTAATAATTACTATGAAATATTATATTTCACAAGTGTCAATACTAGCAACGGAAAATATCATGTCGGCCGTTTTTATGTGTGATAACAGAACCTAAAATCGAGGTAAAGCTAGGCCTAGCCAGCAGCGTTGGATAGGCTAATGTTTTCGGCGCCTACGATATTTCTTCTCACGACCTATCGCAAAATCAACATGAAAAATTCATCCGCATTTATTTTTTGTGTGGAACACAAAAAAATCAAATTTCAGTCTTATTCTACATTTTTTTCATTCTTAGGAATGTCTAAATTCAGTTAAACTAGCAATTCCGTATTATATTTATAAATCTTTATAACATTTATACAAAAATTAGATTTTTCTTAAAAATTGAAATTTTGCCGGGAATGGGGCTTTAAAATTTACCCGTCTTTGGTCACCCCAAAGACCGGTGAAGAGGAGAAATATCTTTATAACACTACAACATACCCCATTTAATATCATAAAAGAGGTGGCTAGGACACTTTTTGAGTGATATGCAATATGTGCCAAGTATTTTTTTTAATTTCAACAATATTTTGTGAAGGTCGTAACTGATCATAGCATGGACTTATATAATTAATCTTATTAATAGGTCCATGATCATAGGATCCTCAATACATATAACAACGGGGAAAAATAGATTAAGTAAATAATTAACAAAATAATATACAAATTATGAAAAAAAATTAAATACAAGTGTAAAATAACAATAAGATAAATGAAGCGTAGGCCTATAAGTTTTAAAATAAATTTTAATGAATTAAATTGACCTAAATGTAATTGTAATTAAAAACAAAGGAAACAGAATAATTAGATAATACATGATATAATCATATAATAACAAAAGTTTGTAATTAATCAGCTAAATCATACCAAGGGTCTGCCACTGCCTCAAGAGAGAGAATCAGGGGCGGATTTAAGGGGGGCGGCCCCGCCCCCCACTTTTGGGAGGTGAAAAAAAAAGAAAGAAAAAGAAAAAAATGATAGCCCACAACGCCTCAAATGTTATTTTCGGGCGTCTAGAACACAAAAATTTCGCGGGGGCATGCCCCGGCAGTACCCCATAGGACATTGTTGTCTCGATCGGCCCAAATTTCGGCCCCCCTTTTCGACATCTCTGGATCCGCCCCTGAGAATTCATGTAATCACTAAAAAAGGCGAGACTTTTAGTGTGGAGCGAACCTGCCACCCGCCAATAGTGATGATTTCGAATAATACAATTTTACTTAACTATTTAGCGCAAAAAAAAAATTATTTTGTTACGCCCGCCACTACCTTAAATCTCCAAAAATATATATATTTCTTCCTATATAGATTTACTCCGTCTGAATGTTTTGCTAAGAACTAAATATATGCTAAGAAAACAAAATTTTATTCTGCCCTCCTATTTTTCTGCCCTCCTCTGGCGATCTTTAAAAAATATGTTTGTCAAACAAAGTATAAGAAAAGTCTCACCTAAAACCAGGGAAAGAGAGAGAGAGAGATACTATAGTATAGACCCTATTTCTTTTATTCAATAAACATAAAAGCAGCCCAAGCTGAATTGGAGTACGAATTTACAGTTTAGGAACACAATCAAGCAAATACAGAAGGAAACATCAAAAGTAAAATTAAAAACCATACTTAAGTACAAAGTCAAATATAATCAAAATATAAAAAGATATAAAAAAATAAATATAAACATTTACAATAAAATCGGTCGAGAATAGAGAACATCCAAAATATGATTTAAAAAAAAAAAAATAAAAAAATACAAATAAAACAATTCAGTCACATTTTCACAATATATAATATATATATATATAAATATATATACAACAAATATATATATATATATATGTTGATATAA